TTTTTTTTTTATCATGATAATTAACTCTTAGCAATATTATAAACTTATAATTGTAATATTTATTTAAATAATTAATTCTTTTTATTTATAGATTTATTTGTTGTATCATATATGTTAACCTATTTAATAACATATTATGAATATAAACTTACAATTCTACAATGTTACCATTTAAAAAGATTTTTTTTTTACAATCTTTTGGTATCTAAAAACAACATTGAACCTTAATTAATTTAGAATTGAACCACATTAGATGTTATAATGAGAGAAGTTCTCTTAACACTTATTTCTTTATTCACAAGATTTAAATTTAAAATCTTATTTAAAGATAATCAATGTCTTTCTATTCAAGTTGATCAATTGAATTCCTTATTTTGAACTTGCTAGCTGTGTTGAAAGAGAACCCTGAAAGTGGCACAATAATTTCAAAACATAATTCTCAAATTTTGAATGTTGAACACAATAGAATAGGGTGGGGCTATCATCCCACCTTAAATGATTAACGTTATACTTTCTTAATGTAATTATTTATTATACTCTCATATTACACTTTTTCTCAATTTTTTTGTTTTTTAATAAGTTAAAAAATATAATAATCAATTAAAATAAAAATATATAATATTGATAATTAAAAGTGTGACAATAAGATTACCTGATACAATATATCATTAGAAAGAGGACAAATGAAATGCTGTCCCTTGTTCTCAATGGCTGGCTCTCATTTTTGTCATTATGAACGAAAATTTAGAGCACCGAGGCTGGTCCTCAGTTTGTTCACACTAATCTGTTTTGTGCTTTTGTGCAAACTTTCCCCATTATCAAGCAGACAGTGAGAGAGTCAACATTACAGAAAGGTCTACTTTGTGGCCTTGATCCAACAACCACCTTAGAAATATCCTGGATTCATTTCTCTATGGATTAACTTCTTCAGCTGCTGTTTTTCCTACATCTGATTGGAAGCATCAGGTTCGTCTCCTGCCTTTCTTGGTTTAATGTTATGGTAATTCTCTCTAAGTTGCCTTTACAAGTTTTCTTCTCTTGTTCCTTTGCTCTTTGATATATCTTGGTTCTTCTTCATCTGAGTTAAGAATAAAACTGAATGCAAAGCATGAATCTCCTCAGTTTTGCAGCTTTCTCGGTTTGAGTGATTTTCCGGACCAAGAATTAGCTAGAAAGCTTGAGAAATTTCTGGA